CAAAGGATTGTGAGTTCAATCCCTGGTTAGGGTGTGTGCGGGAGGCAGCTGATTGATTTCTCTCTTGCATCGATGTCTCTTTCTCTCTCCTTTCCTTTCCCTCTCTTTAAAAAATCAGTAAACATATCTTTGGATGAGTATTAAGTAGCGGGGGTGGGGGTAGGACAAATACTGTGTGATTCCACTTAGATAAAGTATCTTACATAGTCAGTCTCTTAGGAACAGAAAGTAGAATGGTGGTCCAAAGCCAGGAGAAGGAAGTAATAAGTGCTGGAGAAGTTGTGGAGAAAAAGGAACCCTTATTCACTGCCAGTAGGAATGTAAACTGGTACCACTAGGGAAAACAGAATGGCGGTTCCCCAAAAAACTAAAAACAGAGTTACCATATGACCCAGCAATCCCTCTTCTGGGTATCTACCCAAAAAACTCAAACATTTATTCACAAAGATATATGCACCCCAATGTTCACTGCAGCATTATTCATGGTGGCCAAAACATAAAGACAACCAGTGTCCCTCAACAGAGGATTGGATAGATACTACTTAGCCATAAGAAAAGGTGAAATACTTCCATTTGTGACAACATGGAAGGAACTCGAGAATATTATGCTAAGTGAAATAAGTCAGCCAGGAAAAGCTAAGAACCATATGGCTTCACTTATACGTGAGATATAAAACTGAAACTCAGAAACAGACAATGGTATGGTGGTTACCAGAAGAAAAGAGGTGAGGGGGGTAGTAAATGGTAAAGGGAGCCAATATATATGGTAATGGAAGATGATTTGACTTTGGGTGGTGGGTACCCAATGCAATATACAGATCATCTATCATAGTAACATACACTTGAAACCTACATGACCCTAATTAAACAATGTCCCCCCAATAAACTTAATTTTTAAAAAAATCTAGGGGAAGGGGGAAAAGGTAGTAGTTATTTAATAGGTATAGAATTTCAGTTTTGCAAGATGAAGTCTCTGGAAATCTGCTTCACCATAATGTGAATATGTATAATATTATTGAACTACACACTTAACAAGTTATCACTTTTATTTTTAAAACCCAAAACATACAATTTAACATCTTAACTTGTTAAAAGAAGTGATAGTAGCATGGATTAGTAGTTGCTGTTCATTTCAGTGGTCTCTGTAAATGAATTAAACTCCCCAATCAAGACAGATTAGATGAACTGATTTAAAAAAAAAACAAGATCCAACTATATGATGCCTACAAGACACTCATTTTGGATCTAAGGACACATCAAGGCTGAAAAAGAAAGGATGAAAAAGATAGTCATAGCTTAAGGACAGGGATATGTTCTGAGAAGTGAGTCGTTAGGTAATTTTGTTGTAGTACCAATATCATAGGGTGTACTTACACAAACCTAGACAGTATGGCCTACTATATACCTAACCTATTGCTCCTAGACTACAAACCCATAGAATGTTACTGTACTGAATATTGTAGGCAACTGTAATATGCATTTGTGTATCTAAACATAGAAAAGGTGCAGTAAAGATAGTGTAAGATAAAAATGGAACATCTACATAGGGCACTTAGCATGGAGCTTGCAGGACTGCAAGTCGCTCTGGGTTGAGTGGGTGGTTGAGTCAATGCGCAAGGCCTAGGACAGTTACTATAAGCTGTTGTAGACTTCTTAAACTTTATAAACACTATATACCTAGAATCCCAGAGACAAAAGAATACCTTTTTTGTATATGCCCTTGAGGTACTATATCTTTAGTTTGCTTAAGAACTGAGACTCAGGGAAGTTATCTTATGAAGCCAACTAAGTTTGGAGCAGATCTAACTGCATGGCCAGGCATTTCTACTTCTACACCCTCTAGCGTGTTCATTTCATATCCACATTGCCCGCAAATTCACACTTAGAAATATCAGGTAAAGAAACCCGACCCACCAATACACAGCCATGGTAGTTTCTGTTGCTTTATGTTTAGCTCATTTCTCAAACAGAAGCAATATTGAGTCCAAGCTGGCCTGACACTCAGAATTGCCATTATCACAGCTCTACTTAATCTACCTTTAGTTCATTACTAACAATATTTGTACGTCCTGCGTGGGTTTTATTTCCAAGTAGATATATTTAAAGAATTGAAGATAATAGCTGTTCCCAAAATTTTAAGTACATTATAGACCAAGTATTGCCCTTAAATACAACCCCAACTATGAGTATAAAAAATTACAATCACTGATACAGTCACTTTGGCATACATCAGTTAAAATTCAGAACTGTATAAAAGCCATAAAGTTGTTCTTTCAGTATCTTGGTTTACACTAAGGCATTTTCACAATAATCTATTGTTTGGACAAGTGACTTCAATATTTTCAAGAGTCAAGATTTTTCAAGAGTCAGGAAATTGAATTCCAGACTTCTGTGTTGCAATATACTTAGTTCATTAAAGCAAGCCTGTAGGGCCGTGGTTCTCAACCTTCCTAGTGCCGTGACCCTTGAATAGTTCATGTTGCAGTGACCCCCAACCGTAAAATCATTTTTGTTGCTACTTCATAACCGTAATTTTGCTGTTATGTCTTTGGCGACCCCTGTGAAAGGGTCGTTCGACCCTCAAAGGGTCGTGACCCACAGGTTGAGAAACAGTGCTGTAGGGCCCTGGACAGTGTGGCCCAATCAACTGGTCTCAGGTTTGATTCCTGGTCAAGGGTACTTACCTGGGTTGTAGGTTCAATCCTGGGCCTGACCAGGATGCTTGTAAGGAGGCAACCAATCAATGTGCCACACTGATGTTTCTCTCTCCCTCCCAACTAGAAATCAATGGAAAGTATCTTCTGGTGAGGATTAATGAAACAAAAAAACGAGCTTGTAGATGCTTATGTCTGGGGATCACATTGCCAGGTACTTGTTTTAAAATCTTAACTGCACCCTCGTTAAGAGTCAGCCTGCGTTCCAGAGACCCAGGTTCAGTTCCTGCTAAGGGCATGTACTTTAGTTGCTGTTTGTCCCCCTCCCTGGTTGGATCCTGCAGGTGGCAGCCACTCGATGTGTCCCTCTCATGTTGATGTTTCTCTCTCCCTCCCACTCCATCTGAACAAAAAATGAAAAAATGTCCTCGGGTGAGGATAAAAAAAAAAATTTTAACTGCTACTTAGGCAGCACTTTTTAAGTGTATGTTTTCATTGCTTTTTAGAGGGAAAAGGAGAGGGATAGAAACATGGATGAGAGCAACATGATGGGCCGTCTTCTGCACACTCCCTTCCAGCCACAACCCAGGCATTTGCCCTGACTGGGAATCAAACTGGTTACCTCCTGGTGCATGGGATGATGCTAAGTCCAGAGCCATACCAGCCAGGCCCTAAACAGCACTTTTAACACTAGTGTAGAATATGCTTAAAATTGGGCTAAAGACAGGTTAGTAGTAGCTCCCTATCTCACTTTTGATTAATAATTCCTTCACAGCAACCTCTTCTAGAGTTAACCAAAAAAATGGTAGACCCAAAATGACTCAGATGTTGGAAAGCACTAGGGGAAGGGATAAAGAATGAGGACACCAATGTTTGCATAGGTGGCTGCATGGACCATGAGCAAAAAAACATACACAAGAATCAGTCAATGAATGTGTAAAAAAGTGGAACAAATCAACCCCTCAAACAAAAAAGCACAATAATCCAATTAAGAGCAGGTGTGAGAGCATTAATTTTCCTAAGCAATTAACTTGTAAAAATGTTTTTATACTTCGTCAAAAATGGATTCTCATCCTTAAGTCCATTTAAATCTCTGCTATGCTACTACAAAGCTCTAGAACACTGGGCAAGTTCAACTTCAAAGCCAGTTTCTGGATCTATACAATGGGAATAGAATTTAAGAAAATAGTTAAAACAAGTGCTATCCATTATTGTGCCAATAGGGGTTTGACTAAATAAATTTGGCCTTTATGGCACACTTTTCAGTCCTGAAGTTAACATAATTAAACCAGGGACTGTACATTCTAGAATCATCCCAGAAATCTTTTACAATGCTGATAGCACCAAAATACATTATTTGAAAAAGCTCCAACATGCAGCCGGTTATGAACCATCACACTGTTATGTTCCCTGTGATCAGGTCCCATGTATTGTTTAAATAGAATTTAGCTGTCCCATGATTCCAAAAGTAAACTGGTTTAGTGGCCTCTCATAAATATAATGAAAATGGAGAAAACCACCACAGCATATTCATCTAATGAATTCACAGTACAACTCTACATCCCTAAGATCTACCAGTATCATAAATAAAAGCCAACAAAATTCAGCAACTGATAGTCAATTTATTAAAAAGGCTGATTTAAGCATCTGCAATGGTGACTTCAACCTCAACTCCAGGTTCAATACTGATGGAAGTAATCTGCTTAACAATCTCCGAAGGGCTGTGCAAGTCAATGAGTCGCTTGTGGATCCTCATCTGAAACCGGTCCCAAGTCTTAGAACCCTCGCCACAGGGAGTTTTCCTTGTAGTGATTCTCAGAGTCTGCAACAAAAGACAAAGGAAACCAAGCATTTATGGTTTTATGCTCATCTCTAGGATATCTGAAAAACCATCATCGCAAAGTACTCCACTGGAAAATTCCCCAGGGCATCACTCCTCTTCACATAAACAGGTTTTCAGATCCTATCAACTTAGAACAGCAAGCCCCTTTCCACATCAAGGAACCAGCCACAATTGGCTTCAACTATTATCTCTTCAAAGTTTGGTACTTAATATTAACCAACCTCTACCAGCAATTTTTACTTGGGTTTGTTCTGCTAGCACCAATGTATAAAACCCTGGGCAGCCAAACCCCTTATGCTAAGGGGTAGAAATTCGGACTTCAACCACCACAAGCGACTCCCTGATTTACTTCACCTTGGTAGGCATCCGAACCGGTCCTTTCACCTTGAGATTCTTCTCCTTTGCACCTCGGATCAAGTCAGCACACACTACACACAGAGGAATAAAAATACCTTTCAGTTCATTCAAAACACCCCAAGTCGGCTTAAGAAATTTTTAACTGCTGCTGGCTCAGAATAGCGTATAAAACTATCACCGACATTCAACAAGTAATTAACTCCTCATCGCCAACTATGATGTCAATGACAAGAGTAAAAACTAAACATGGATCAGCCTTTGTCTTTCCAGGGTAAGCGACTTGTCACTTTCCTTCTGAGTCCATCTTGTACAGGACACATTCAACTCATCGCTCCTCTGGCCCAAGGGTCTCACTCCGAAGGACTGTACTGACCCTTCTCCAGAGACTTGACGTTGCGGCTGGTCAGAGTAATTCTAATCCGGTGGATGGCCACCTCCGGCTCCACGGGTGTCTTTCCGGTGTCTTTAAAAGCCTATTGCACAAGTGAGAAGACAGCAACACTCGAGTGAGTCCTGGAGGCGAGCGCTGGCAGCCCCCCCGGAGTTCCTGGACTAGTGAGTCTCGTGTACTCACCGCCTCCCCCCATCCCTGCAGCCGTGCCCAGGAGAGGGCGAGACGCGGGGCTCAGTCCCGCCACCGCCACCGCCACCACCGCGCGGCGCGCCCTCCGCCTCACCATGGCTGCGGCGCGGCTTCCTGACCGACTTGTTCCTCGGCGAGAGCGAACAGCGGTGAGTCAGGAGCAGGAGCGGGCGGGACGCAGCTGCACTATAGCAGCAACCACGTCTTCCTCAAAGAGAAAGACGCGCGGCCCGCGTGCCGCTTATATAGCCGAGCTCGCATCTGCATCCGGGTCCCGCACGTTTCTCCGCGCCGCTCCGGAAGAGGCGGAGCTCCGCTGGCTCTGGAGGCTCTAGCGCGGCGGCGCGAGCCAGGGCGAGAATTCCGCGGAGCTGGCGGGAAAGGTGCGGGCTCGGTCGCCCCCTGTCGGCCTGGCGAAGTCAGAGCCCCTTGACATGGCCCCGCCAGCGCAGGCGCCAGGACAAGGACAGTGGACCGGCCCTAAAACCTGAGAAAAGTCCCTTTTCGGTGAGGTCACCTCCGGCCTCCTCAGGATCAGAAACGACTCCTGTGGTTTGCACAGTGCGAAATTTGCTTCCCGTGCAAACCGCGTCACTCGTTCTCGTGGAGTAAGTGGATAACTTTCCTGAGTTTAACTCACGTGGGTATCAAGAAAAAGGATTCTGCCCCGGCCGGTTTGGCTCAGCGGTTAGAGCGTCGGCCTGCGGTCCTGAGAGACCCGGGTTCGGTTCCCGCTAAGGGCGCGCACCTCGGATGCAGTTTGTCCCCAGCCCTGCTGGGCCCTGGTTGGTCGTCTGGGTGGCAGCCACTCCATGTATTCCTTTCACATCGATGTCTCCCCCCCCACCCCTTCCCGAACAACAAAAAGAGGAAAAATGTCCTCGGGTGAGGATAAAATAAAAGAAAAAGAATTCTGATAACCTGGCTGTGTTATTTTAAAAAATTAATAGGTAGTTATTTTTCATAGCCTGAAATAACCTTTGGTGATACTCAGCTCTGGCTTCCCAGACCTGTAGAAGCATCTCCACCTATTTCTAGAAACTACTTTGGATTTCTCCCCTTCCAGGAAAGTGTGAATGAAAATGTCAGGCTGTGGGAGTTCTGGAGCCTGTACACCCGGAGCCCAGCCTGGAGACCTGGGCTATCTGCCCAGTTCTAAACCATGTTATATCCCCTGCCTTCCCATAAAGTAATGTTGGATAGGACCCTTCAAGATCTCCCTAATACTGAGCATCTAATAGAATGTGGGACAAAGTACAGTGGAAAAACCAGGAGTAGGCAACTGACCTAGGTGACCAGGAGAGAGTGTATGGGGACCCATATTTATTAAACCTTCAATTTAGGGACCTTCATTTAACAGGGGGACAAAATTTCTGGTCCATATGGCTTGTGAAAATTAACACCCTGTAAATTTAAAAATGCTTTTAACCTAGATTTGCTTATAATTAAATGAACAGGGTTTTTTTGTTGTTGTTAATTCACTGTTATTTTTAACAAGTTTTAGCTAATAGGCCAGATGTTGGAAAAACACTTTAGTAATTTCACCAACATAAATAAATGTTACAGTCTACAACTGTAGTCTACATATTTAAATCCAAGAGTCATCCCTGATAAATAATGTTGGGGAATGACCAGCATGTGATCACACCACATCATAGGAGGTAATTGTTGTGGAGTGTGCAGTTTTAACAAATGCTGGCCAATGTTCCCACCTGGGCTAAGCTACACTCCAGCCGTGTGCCTTTGTTTACTCTCAGTGACTGGTGAATGTTTGCATGTAGTAGACCTGTTCAGTATCAATTTAACCTTACATTAAAGGGGACTCTAGTACACTGCTGGTGGGAAAGCAGTGCGTCCCCACCAAAAAAATTTGGTGCGTCCCCAAAAAATTAAAAATGAAATTGACATTTGACCCAGTGGCCCCACTTCTAGGAATATATCCTAAGAAGCCTGAAACACCAGTCAGAAACAATATATGTACCCCTATGTTCATAGCAATGCTATTTACAATAGCTAAGATCTGGAAACAACCCAAGTGTCCATCAGTAGATGAGTGGATAAAAAAGTTGTGGTACATGTACACAATGGAGTACTATGCAGCTGTAAGAAAGAAAGATCTCTTATCCTTTGAGACGACATGGAGGGGCCTGGAAAGTATTATGCTAAGCGAAATAAGCCAATCAGAGAAAGACAAGTACCACATGATCTCGCTTAGTTAGGAAACGTCACAACAAAATAAGCTATTGACCAAAATAGATCCAGAGTCATGGAAGTAGGGGACAGATTAACAAACCTCAGAGGGATGGTGGATGAGAAGAGTGGAAAGAGATAAACCAAAGAACTTATATGCATATATGCACAACCAGTGAGCACAGACATTAGGTTAGGGAAAGCAGGAGTGGAGTAGGAGAGGGGAAGAGGTAGTCAATGGGGAAAAAAAAGGGATATCTGTAAAACTTTCAATAAAAAAATATTTTAAATAAAATAAAATTACATTAATACATATAGAAAACTTTTCTGTGAAATTAAACTTTTGATACTTAATTTTAATTACACAAATGTGTCTACATTAGTAAAAACAGGTAAACTTATTTGTCTGTTTTTAAACATACACATTTGGAAAACCTATTTTATCACATAAGGGACTTTTGGCTTTAACAGACACCCCCTCACCCAAATTAGTCCGCTATATTGAGGTTTTACTGTACCTAAACACGAGGGGCTGTTTAAATAGAATGAAATACAGGGCAGAAGGAAGAGTAAATCTCATTATTTTACATGTGAACCTCTGAGTGCAGAAGATTTATTTGCTCAGGCACAAAGAATTGGTGAATGACTGATAGAGTTCTGACCCCTTCAATTAGGACTCCTTCTTGAACCCCTTTCTGCTGTTTCTTAGAAGGAAATTATGTTTGAAACTCTTAATAAATACTAGTATTGACTTACTTATTTGGTGATAACTGGCTTTCTTTGGCTTACAAATAATATTTATATTAGATTTTGCTGCCATTTAACAATTTATTTATGTGTGAAAAGTTGGATAGTGTCCAGTTATTATTAAATGTCATCTATTGACTGTAAATACTATGTTAGTAGAATTTCCAGCAGAAAATCCAAAAACCTGCATTCTTGCTTTACTGTCTGTAACCAAAATGAGACTTCATAATTTAGGGCTTAACCTTAGCAGTATGGTTATCGGCAAACAAATGTGTAGTTGCCTAAGCTCCCTGGGATGTGATCAACCACCATTGCATTGGTACTGAAGGTGAATGTGAATGTGCATTTTCAGACAGCTTACAGCAGTATTCATCTTTCATCAATACTCAAGACAACCAGAAATTCAATGATGGAGTGCTTGAGAGCCACATTGGTGATTTGTTTCAATAACAAATCTGGTACATCTATTCTTAGGCTTGCATTCTCCTTCAAGCACTTGAGGAAATGGTGAACAAATTAACTTCCTTGACTATAAAAAAATAATTTTAGTATGGACAAAGGCAGAATGTGACAAGGCATGCATGGGAAAAATTGTTGACGTGACTGGAACTAAGAAAACAGCTGTTTAAAATAATAGGCAAATATAATGAAAACTTCACTATTTTTAAGTTGATAAGGTTTAGTTTCAAATATTTTGTTATGTTTTTCTCTCAAAAGTTAGCAGCTGCTATACTCCCCCAATTTTAATTAATATGTAATATTTTAATACTAGATCTTAGATATTCATTGAAGAAAAAGTAACATTTAACAGGAAGCACAAAAGAAGAAGAAAATGCATAATGCCACCATTCAGAGATAAACCACCATTTATACCTTCAGGCGTGTACATATCACTTTTAAAAATGGGCTTGTATTCTATACACAGTTTGATAAGCTGCTTTATTCACAGAATATTGTGTTACAATAAGTATACTTGTACAACACCCACTTTAATGACTGAGTGGTATGAATGGTTTGTAATTTATTGAACTAGTCCTCTATTTTTAGGCAGAACTAGTCTTCTGTTTTTCACTCTTGTGAACAGTACCATGAGATACATGCTTCTAGACCAGGGTTTCTCAGTCTCAGCACAATTGACATTTTGGGCTAGATGATTCTTTGTTCTGGAGGGCTATCCTATGCATTGTAGAATGTTTAATGACTTTTCTGGCCTTCACCCACTAGATGCCTGTACCAACCTCTCCCCTCCAGTAGTGACAATCAAACAAGATCCAACATTCACTCCCCCTGGTACCTCCCCACCATGTGAACCACTGATGTAAATTAATTTTTTAGCTCATTTTTAATGTCTTAGATCAATTGCTAGATAATACTTATCCTTTGATAGCTTAACGAATAAGCATATTTTAACCTTGCTGGTGTGGCTCAGTGGATTGAGCATTGTCCCATGGACTGAGAGGTCCTGCTTCGATTCCCTGTCAGGGCACATGCCCAGGTTGTGGGCTCCATCCCCAAAAGGGGGCAGGCAGAAGGCAGCAGGTCGATGTTTCTTCTTCACATCAATGTTTCTATCTCTCTCTTCCTTCCTCTCTCTCTCTAAAAAAAATCAATTAAAGAAAAAAAAAGAATAAGCATATTTTAAGTACTTTAGTATTAGGTAAATTGCCCTCTGGGAAGGTTATGCCCAAATAG